TTCTGTTGCCAATTAGTTCTGCTTGAGAACAGCTTTTCTCAACACCAACACATTGGCTGCCCAGCCTTGAGTTCTGTTGATTAGCTCCAAAGTGGGGAAAAAAGTAATTTCTTTCTTTCCTTCCTCCACCCCCAACCGTGAAACCCGGCTGTTCGTGATGAAAGGGGTCCTGTGGATCGTTTAGTTTTCCTTGTCATGACTCCAGGAAAGGCTATAAAAATAATCAGTGGGCCCCGCTGGCCGTAATTGACTGTAGAGAGAAGTTGGCTACCACAGCGTCTGAGTTATCAGAATCTGTTGCAGACGCAGGAGGTTTCAGTCAAGCTCCTCTGATTACACCTGCTCCCCCCGGGGCCAGTGAGGGCCGGGAAGTGCTGGAGGTTGTCTGTGAGCTTCTCTTCTTTCCCAGGTTCTGGGGAGTTCCTGGCGGAGGGACCCCGGGCCAGAGGGAGAAGCTGGGAGGCCTTGCTGCAGGGTGGTTCTGACATGCTCTGCCTGCATCAAGCCCCAGCTCCATCGTGTATAGCCATGAGCCTTGCACCAGGGACTTGACCTCTGGGTGCCTGTTTCCTCATTTTAAAGTGATGATAATGGTCCCTCCTCCTGGGACTGATGTAGGATCAAATGAGTTAATGCACGTGGGAGAGGTTCAAATCCTTCATAAATGTCAGCTTTTATTACTCAAATCCCTCCCGCTCTTCCCCCTTTGACACCTGAGTCGTATGTGGTTGTGCCAAAGTACCTCAACCTAGTCCCCTGCTGATGGATGTGAGGTTGGTTCCAATCTTTTGTGACAGCAAATAATGCTGTACTGAATAGCCTGTGGCTCTGTGTGCCCGGCCCTCTCCTAAGGTATGTGACCCCCATGATAACCTTGGCTCTGGACTTTCCTTCCTGGGGCCTGGAGAATGAGAGATGTGCGGGTGAAGGGCCAGCCCTGGCCTGGCATGCAGACAGGCCTGTGGGAAGGCGGGGTCAGGCCCTCCCAAGCCTGGCAGGACAGATTCCTCCCGTGTCCCTCAGGGGAGTAAGGCGCCAAGCGGTGAGTTTCAAAAGATTGGGGCTGGGGCCATTCTGCTCCCAGGTTCCTCGCAAATGCCCTGAGGTGGTCTGGAGAAAGGGATCTGTGCCATGCAGGTTCTGCCCATCCTCTGTCATGCTCTTCCTCCAAGAAACCTCCTGGGGATCTGGACTCCAACAACCTTGGCTGTCTCTGCACGTATTAAGCACCGATGGTATCTAGCACCCTTTCGGGAGCAAAATGTGCGGTGACTGAGAATCTTAGATGTGAAAGGCAGCTGGATTTGGTCCTAATTTCTTAATACGCCCATCCATGTAACCCCCTGCCCTTCTGTGTCCTCCTTTGTTTAGGAGAGATAATGATCCTAGGGATGGCAACAACTCAGGAAGGTCTTGGAGGTCGCAGTGATTGTTTACCTGCTTGTAACACTAAGGAGTGTCTGACACTATGTCAGCCATGGGAAATATAAGCCTGTGTTAGCAACGCCTTGGTTTGGGAGGCCCTGGGTCTCACCACACTGGGTTGTGGGTCCTTGCAGGCAGAATGTCTCATCTGGAAGCAGAGTACAAAGGGAATCTAAACTCACTGTGTGGCCTTGAGCAAGTTGGGCCTTGGCCCTCTGAACGGAGTTTTCTATCAAAAATGGGGTTCTGATGACATTACCTAACGGACGCGTCACGACGACTAAGAGGCAAAGCACACAATGCTCAGCAGTGCTAACAGTTGTAAACAGCCTTCCAGAAACCGGCACGGCATTGTGCACACTGCTGGTGCTTAGTGAATACAAATGAACTGAGCAACAGGGTCAAGTCTGCTTGTTATAAAGTGGGGTCTGGGAGAGGCATAGTTAGAGGGACTCATTTCTCATGTTGCTGACCCCGTCAGAACAAAGGGAAGAGCCCAATAGGACCGTACCTGCAGTTGTGACATGTTATTCTTAACTCTGTGAGCTGAAGGACCAGGCATCAGGCATCATCACCCCCATTTTACAAACCAGAATCCAGGCCCCAGAGAAAGGGGAGCTTCACCGGCTCCCCACGACATGCACACAGCAGTACTCACTTGTCCTGTCTCTCTGTGCAGTGGTCTTCACCCTGACCCTCAAAGTCTCACACAGGAAATGGACCTCGGGGGCAAGATACAGTGTCCCTCTGTGGCCGGAGCCCTTGTACATTTCTGACATTTTTGTGTCCTGGGACAAAGGGTGAACAAACTCACATGAACTGTTCTTGTTTCCTGGTGGAAAAATACTCCTGACCCGGGGTAGGGGATCTTTGCTATCGCACTGTGCTGTGATGTGTGGTTCTGCCTGTATTCTGCCCCTCTCTGCCCTACCCTAACGATTTAGCGGCAGCGATTATAGCAAATCTAGATCGTGCAAATCCAGGGATAGCCTTAGGAACTGTTTGTGGGTACTGAACGGGCCAGGGGGCTTCCTGCATCACAGCTGCTGGCCTTGGGTGCCAGTCATGGATGCTGTTGGACTTGCCCTCAGTAGGTGAACAAATGAATCAGCAGATATTCGCTGCCTTCACATAACCTTTTTCCTCCTATAAGGACACCAGTCATTGGATTTAGGGCCACCCCAACCCCGTGTGACCTCATCTTAACCAGTTATGTCAGTAAAGACTATTTCCAAATAAGGTCACATTCCAAGTCTCTGGGTAGGCTTGGATTTTTCAGGGGCCACCATACCTACTAAACAGTAGCTATCACTAATGTGCCGCTCACTGCAGTCTGTGCAGCACAGCTGATGTGCTGGGCACTTTTCTGTGCTCCTTTCATTCCCTCCCCCCTTAGCCCTCTCTACAACCTCATGAAATGAGTTCTAGGATCATCTCTGTTTGAGGCCAGAGAGGTGAACTGACTTGCTCGAGGTCACACAGCTGGTAAATAGCAAAGCTGGGAGGAAACCTCTCCTCTCTGACTCTACAGCTGGCAGGGTTCTGAGACCCTCCAATCCCATTCCAAGGGCTTGGAGTCATTGTACTTTCTCTCCCAGAATCCCAGCCATGCGAACTATTCTGTCTCCTGGCCCACACCTCTCTCCACTCTCTCCAGACACATCTTCCCCAAAGAGGCTATAAAAAGGCGGGGGCGAGTGGGGTTGGATCTTGTCTTCACAAGGGCAAACATGATGTTGTGTTGTCTGGGATCACTGGTGCCCAGCTCTCCTGTGGGTGGGAAGCACGTGACCCTCACATATGTAAGAGCATGCCAGACGCATATATTTCATCTTTGACAGCTGGTACCATTTTAGGAGCCTTGACTAGGGCTTACAAATTGAAAAATGGTCCATTAACATGTAATTTCTTTGTCATCAAGACATTGCTGTTGAATGCTTACAAAGGGATTCACTTGGTCGGGTCCACAAACCCCGACTTCTTGGCCCAGGCCTGGCAAAGGCCTTTGCAGGCAGGATGAAGCTGTTTCTCTGACAGCAGAGAGCAGGGGCCTGGTGGGGCCGGAACAGGGCCTGACAGAGACAAATGAGTATGTTGCCAGATGATGTATGGCAGTTTACCTTTTAACACGCCTGTGTCGCGGCCATGGAAAGAACTTGCTTCGGCTAATGGGAGATGTATGCAATCAGGAGTCTCTCAAAGCCACAAGCTCAGAGACATGAGGAAGGATTGTACTGGGGCTTTGGGGCCAGGAAATAGCTGCTCTGTCAGCACAGCGAGGCTGGAGCCTTTTCCTAGCCAGTAAGCAAGTTGGAAGCCCCTGGGCAGATCAGGGGCTCCCCAAGAACAAGCCGGCCTGCAGAACTTTGCCCCCTGGGAGGGGGGGGGTGTTAGGAGTTGGGAGAGTGGCTAGCCAAGTGTGTAGGAGCCAGCCACACCACAGAGAGCACTGCCCCAAAGCCAGACTGCCTGGGTTCAAATCCTGCCTCCCCCACAGACTAGCCAGGCCTTAGACAGCCCCTCTGTAAAACAGGGATTATAACAGAACCTACCTTGGGGGCTTCTGGGGATTTCCTGAGCTAATGGCACAGAAAGAGTTCTCATGAACGTTATGATGATACGGCGTAGCACTGATGGGGTACAGAGAAGAGCCAAAGTCAGGACAAGAGAGAACTTGTGCTGTGCCTTCTGGCTGTGGGTCTAGCGGCAGCTCCTAACTGGCTGCACGCACACCATGCAGGAGCCTCCTCCCAGTCCCTGCCCCTCAGGGCAATTGGGAGACCAGTGCCAATGTTGGCTGTCACCCTGCTTGGCCAGAATCCAAAAAGTGGGATTAGCTTGATTGGGGAGGATCCATGAGGAGGGCTGGGGTTACCACAAGCCACTACCTCCCTTACAGGTGGGCTGCCCAGGGGCTGGCAACCACTCTGCATGCCTGTGGACATCAAAGGTCTGATTCACATCCTCAGCTCAGAAGCAAAAGCAGGACAGACAAGGGCTGTGTGGTCCCCATGGCCCTTCTGCCTAAGTGGCTCCAGCCCCAAATGAGATGACGGGGTAGATGCATTGGTGTGCATCTCTGGGCCCTCAAAACTGGGGTGGTAGTTCAGAGGTGGGCAGCACAGCGGGTCCAGCTCAGGTTTGGGGATCACACAGACATAGGGCAGGGAGGGCTGGACGTGCATCCAAGCCAAAAATCTGTTCTGACTTGGAATCAGGCATCGTTACATGTGAAGGCTGAAGCCTGACCCCTCCGCTCTATCCCTGTCTCCCCCAGGACTGACTGCTCGGGAGCTGTGGCCAGCTCATGGTACTCATGCCAGCTGGCTGTGGCTCTCCCACGAGGGTCAGTTTCTAGAGCTATCAGATGCTGTGGCTATTGGCTTGCTTGTCTCCATGGCACCAAGCCTGGCCAGCTTTTGGGCAACAGCGGCCCCGTGGGGAACGTATAATCCGTGAAGAAGGGATAGCAGAACCTAGCGTAGGGATGTCCGGGTGGAGAGCAGAGAGTGCCTTTGGGCACCCTGACCGTGCGCAGGTAGCTCTGAGCATTGGTCCTTTGTTTTAATTTTTAGGTAATCTCTACACCCAATATGGGGCTCGAATTTATGACCCCGGGATCAAGAGCTGCACGCTCCACTGACTGAGCCAGCCAGACGCCGCTGAGCACTGGTCCTTTAGAGCCTTAGGAGAAAGTCCAGGTGATGAGGTGAGGGTGGAGGTGGTGGTGGTGGTGGGGCTCCAGCTGGGCACCTGGCCTTGTGGCAGCTACCCAGTGAGGGCTCTTTACAGCTTCACCCTGCCCTGCCTCCGCCCTCCCGCACCCCCACCCCGGGAGGCGGGGGGTGGGGGGGGTGGGGGGGGTGGGGTGGGCTTCACTTCCTGATTCTCTAATCCTCCTGCTCCAGCCAGCTGTCCCATTCACATTCATTCATATGTCCCTTTTCTCGGGCCTGGTCCTCGCAATGACCCCGTGAGGTGGGGGTGCAGCTACTATGCGCCCCTTTTTTTGAGATCACGGAACACACACGAATGTGAAGCAGCTGAGCTGACAGAGGGGGCACAGAGCTGACGAGGGGGCTGGATTAGTCACCCAGCGCTGAGTAACACATGGCCCCATCGCTCAGCGCCTGAAAACAACACCTGTCCAAGATCTTACGGTTTCTGCAGGTCAGGGTGCAGGCGTGGTGGCCGGGCCCTCGGCGTCAGGCTGTCACAGGCGCGCCCAGGTGTCCGGGGGCGGAGGGGGCTCCGCTCGCCTCAAGGGGCAGGGGCAGGGGGGGCTTCTCCTCGGGGAGGGACGGGGGGCGTCCCGGGGCCCCCAGCACGGGGCCCTCTCCCTCGCGGCGGCTTGCCTTCTCAAAGCGATGCAGCCTGGACGGCGCATGCGTGCGCATGCGTGTGGACATACGTGTGGACGTGCACGCGCGGGCGGGGGGTGCACGTATGTGCGTGCGTGCGCGGTGCAGGCGTGTGTGCGCAGGCGCGTGGGCAGGCACCTGCGTGCGCAGGAGGGCAGGAGCCAGCGGCCAATGGCAGCGGTGGCGGCGCGTCCCTCTTGGCCCCTTGCGTGGCTTTCTCCCAGTGGGAGGCAGGCGGTGGGGCCCGCTCACGCTGAAGAGGAGCGCGAAGGCCCGGCGGGCGGCCCCCCTGTGTGCCCCCGGCCCCGGACACGGGCCACCTGTCGGCCGCCACTCAGCATCGAATGGCGCCCTCGCCTGCTGGGGGGGGCCGGGAGCCCCCGGGGAGCCCCCTCGCGCTTCGGGCAGGTGCGGTGCCGCCCCGGAAGCCGCACGCTGGTGGCGTTTTTACCCACCATCACGTGCCTCTGCAGCAAAAAGAAAGAAATGCCTTTTCATTGTTTCCTGTAACTGAGCTGGGATTGCTCACAAACCCAGGGCGACGAGGAGGAACACGAGATTTCGTCCGATCTGGCCAATTTAATCCGATCCAGTGCTGTAGGTCTTCAGGTAATGTTCAGTCTCAGATTTCCTTCTGCTCCATCCTCAACCCCCCCCTTCCCCCAGGTGGCGTGGGGTCCGGAGCCCCCCGGAGGCTCCCGGGTGGTGGGGAGGACGCGGGGCGTCCAGCCACGTCCATGGCCCGGGACCACTGCTGGCCTTTCTGGCGCTGGCGGCTGGAGGAACACGTGCTCTGGGCCCGGAGCCCTGCCTGGCTGACTTGTCTGTCTCTTCCTTGGCTCAGAGCCCTCAACTCCGCTGCGTCTGGCCCCCGCTGGGGCTGTCCACCATCTTCACACAGTGTCCCCTAGGAAAAGGGATGTCCCTTAGGTGGAAGACCCTGTGGAGCCCGGAAAAGTGCAACACCGGGCAAGGCTTCCTTCCTTCCATCCAACCTGGGGCATTTGCATGGTCACCCCAACTTAAACTGGTGAGCAGTGATCTCAATCCAGCTTCCTCCTTGAGCCTCCAGAGGGTCAGTGCAAATCCCTGCCTTGTAGCTGGCTCTTGTACTAAACAAACGAATGAAATAAATAAATAACAAAGTAGAAGTAGCTGATACTTAGAAAACACCTGAATCTACACTAAACATCTCACGCACTAACTCGTTCAACACTCGTAGCAACTCTGTGAGGAAGTACTGAGTCCCATTTTACAGATGAGGAGACTGAGGCACAGAGACGTGACATAACTGGCTCCCAGTCACAGAACTCTTAAGTGGCAGAGCTGGGATTTGAACCCAGGTAGCTCTTGGGTCCCTACTTTGCACCAGCACCCTCTTGTATGCCCCTTTGCTTTCTGGGCTGGAGCCAAGAGAGGGATAGAGGGATGTCCTCTCTTCTATGCATGTGGTCCTTCTGCCAAAGATAGCAGGCCTGGGGGCATGGGTGAAGGGAGACCTATTTTCTTGACAGTGTGGGAAAGTGCTATGCCTTTGCTATGTTTGTTGGCACCTAAAGGACTTTTATTTTTTATTTATTTATTTTTTTGAAGATTTTATTTATCTATTCTTGAGAGACACACACACACAGAGAGAGAGAGAGAGAGAGAGAGAGAGAAGCAGAGACACAGGCAGAGGGAGAAGCAGGCTCCATGCAGGGAGCCCGAAGGCAGGACTCGATCTCAGTACCCTGGGATCACGCCCTGGGCCGAAGGCAGAGCTAAACCGCGGGCTGCCCCCTAAAGGACTTTTAAAAAATGTTTTCTCACAGTGGTGACTTTTAAGTCCGCTGTCTTGTGGCAAAATCTGCTTTGACTACGAGGAACTGAACATCGCCACCATCCTGCCTTTCGTTCCTCTGTGTGAATGCACGTCTTCCCCAGGCAGATGGATATCTGAGGACCAAGGGGAAGGACTGTTTACCTAAAGAGGCAAAGGGGAAAGCACAGTCGTGTTTTTTAAACCATTACTTGTTACAGAAATGATCGCACACTTAGAGTTGTGGTGAATGTGCTGAAGGAGAAACATTCAGAGCAGTGAGTGTATAACAGTGGTCTCAGTCTGTTCAGGTGCTGTGACAAAGCGCCATGGCGTCGGGAGGCTGAGAGCCTCTGTCACTGCCCAGTCCCTGTCTGCAGACTCTGGGACCTGGGTAGAGGGTCAGCCTCAGACTGCCCTCCCTGGGGAAGAAAAATCAATCCCTCCCCTCTGAAAGGATAAAGCAGACAGATCTTCAGAGGGTGGCCAGGCATGCTGACAAGGGACGGTCTCCAACTAGGGCGGCTGAGAGCGAGGGTCATGACCTCTATGGCTGAATGATGCAGAAATCCCGAGGTTGCTTGCTCTCAATCTCTCTCTTCTCTATCCTCTTTCCTTCCTGCCCTGGTCTAAGCCGATCTAAATGAGAAAACCACGAGTGCTAATACTATAACTACCATGGACTACGTCCGGCAAGCGTTAGAATATTGAATTCTCAGAACTGGCCCAACACAGTGGGTGGTATTATCATCCGCATTTTATAGAAAGTTGGGACTCAGAGAGGTGAAGCAACTTGTCCAGGATGACACAGCAAGAATTTGGCAGACTGGGTTTTGTCCCCAGGTCTATCCCACATCAAAGCCTTCCCTATGCTCCAGTTGCTGCTGGGCCTTTCAGGTTCCCGAATGGGGGTGGGAGGTGGGGGGCGGGGCAGAGGAGAATTTGCCCCAGAAAAAAACTTCAAGAGCCAGACTCCAGAAATGCTCAGAGCTGTTAGTTCCCTGTGGTGGTCCCTGCCTGCCCCTCATTGCAGAGGAGTCGGGCCAGGAAGCTGAGCTGTGTGGTGATATGTGAAAACTTACAGCAGAAGCCCATTCTGAAACGTTCTAGGACAGGCAGGAAAGGTTCCTCCCGGACAAGGTGGAGAGGTTCCAGTCCATTTAACTGTAGGAGACGGGGTGGGTGGGGCGGAGGGACGCTAATGTTGCTAGTTGATGGTTAATGTTCTCTCCCAAGGGTATTTATGATTGATGCCCACATTTTTAAACAAAATTCAGCCAAGCTAGATTCAGTACGTCAGGAAGCTAAGGAGAAAGCATTCATGAAAACTGCATTTTGAAAGGGATAAAAAGATATTCCAGACAACTCGCCCCCTTTTAGGTTCTACTTGTCAAAAGAGAGGCTATCTTACCACAGGGACCCCTCAGCAGGTGTCTCCCAGGTCTCTGCATTCTAGGCCTCTTGCCTTGGCTGGATCACACGGAAACAGAAACAAAGGCCCAAATGTTCTCACTGTCATACTAGCCAAACCCTTTTTTGGTCTTTAATTTGGGGCCTGTGAAGAAGAAAGAATCTGTGCATAGGACTCCATGAGTTATAAGTGGTGAAAGCCCAATTCATGCTGCTAAAGCAAAAAAGAAGAAGAAGAAGGAAAAAAAGAATGCTTTGGCTCCTACAACTCAAAAATTTAGAATTAGGTTTAGTGTCAGGTATGGCTGGATCCAGTCAGGTGGGAGGGAGTAGAGGATCATAGGGCTGATTTTCAGTGACCTGGCCTGGCGCAGATCCTCTTGGCTGAACCCGTCGTGGTGGCAAGAAGGATGTGGCGGTTTGAATGGGCCTTAACGGTGGGCAGTGCAAAGTGGTAAGGGAGTGTTCACCATGAGAAGCCCGTGGCGCTATTAGAATAAAGGTCAAACCAACAGAGAGATCTTCTTAAGTTTTGTATGATCCTATGAGACCTTAGGACTCTGAGCCATTTCAAGCTTTGAGGAACCTTACAGAGCACCTGGGTTGGGGTGGCAACTATGTGACGCCAAATATACCATCCTTCCCACCCTTCAGTTTGTGGAAGACATGGCTAATCCACCTCAACGCCGTTTCCTAGTGAGCCCAAACACGGCCTCAGAATCTCAACGCCACGCCAGAAGCAACCTGTGTCCACCGTTGGTGTTAGAACATGAGCCAAGGTCTATCTGCAAGTTCTCTTCTCAGCCCACGGAGATAAGAAAACAGAAGCTCTGAGGTTTGGTTCCCCAGTGGCGTGTAGGAACTCGGTGACCAGCCCTCCTGACTCGGGCAGCCGCCTTTCCTGTGGCATTCTCCTGCTTCTAGCACAGAGACGAGGTCTGTCCCTTAGTGGAGATTTCCACTGCAGACAGCTGCTGAACATGAAAAACAAACAGACGTGAGGTCAGAGGAAAGCCAGAGAGCTTAGCCGCTGACCTCTCTTGCTGAGCGCTGTCTGGAGCTGAGTGCGGCCCTGCGGGCAGCCGGGCAGGGTGAGGCGCGGGGAACCCACCAGTCAAACAGCAGGTCCATCCACAGACATCTCAGTGGGCTTTTGCATGGTCTACCTTAAATGTGGTAAAACTGGGAAACATGCCCTCCTAGGCTCACATTCTCAAATGGGGGTGATGCTGAAGGTACCCCTTTTGGGGTTGGGTGCAGGGTTGTCTTGGAGGGGAAGACAAAGCCTGGCCAGCAGGCTAGGGAAGCCAGGAAGCAGGGAGAAAGCCCCAACAAGCTATCACTCACCCAACTCCGCTACATCCAATCGGAGGAGGAAGAGGTGCCCCAAACAACCTGATGATTTGACTGGAGGAAGGGAAGGGGTGTCCTGACCCCAAGGAGCCTTTTGCGACGTATATGATATATGGACCTAATAATTGTAGTGGGCTGACATGGGGGTGGCGGTGTGCCTCTCACAAAGCCACGAGCTTTGCACATGTTATCTTAATTCAGATTCACAGGACAGTTATTCCCCAGGAACAGATAGGACCAGAGGCCATGGCCACACTTGAGTAAGGGTGGAGCTGGGCTCAAGGCCAGGTCCGCCTGACCCCAGTTCTGACTGAGCTGCCTCCATGGGCTGGTGGCTATCGTGAAAAGGAACAGAACAGAGTGTGTGAGTCATTTGAGAACCTTTCTGTAGATCGTTCCCAACAGCAGCTTCATGCAAGGTGCTGGGTGGGAACAGAGAGGCAGGTGGGGTTCCTGCCCTCTGCTCATTCCCAGAAACGATGGGGTGTGCACTTGGGAAATTGTCACCGTGGAGCCTGAGTAGCATAAATGAATGTCGTGACTGTCACGACTCCCTCTGTTGAGCTCATGGCCCAAGACAGGTGCAGTCGACAGTCTGCAAACTTCTGGGCTAAGACAAGCCCCCAGCCCAATGTACAGGTGAAAACTGAACCTCAAAAAGGATTGAATGCCCCCCCACCCCGAGGCACAGCCAGTGAAGAGGTGGGTGAGAACTCCAGTCAATACCGGGTCTCGGTGTAGCTGAGTACTCTGGGGATCCATGAAAACCAGTAGGAACCTCCTGGTGGAAGTGATGGGGCGTCTGAGAGGAGGATCCTGGGTGGACCCTGGAAGGGGAACCACCCACGGGTGCTGGGCCTCGATGCATACAGCAGTTCCCCCAGGACCGGGGCAACACCTACGACGTCCACCACGTGGGCTTAAACTGAGGCCTGGTGACTCCCTGGCCCTTGAGAAGCACCCGATTTCACAGATGTGGCCAATGATCATTGCTTCTTTCCTTTTGGAAATTTAATTTCTCTGGCTCTTCCCTTCTTCGGGGGGGGGG